AAGACCTTCTTTTTCCCTTCTTCCTTCTTTTTTCTTTTCTGTTTTGTCTTGTTTGCTTATTTGTTTTGCTATTTGTTTTGTTTTTTGTTTTTAAATATATACTTAAATAACTGTTACTAAAGTGCAATAAACAGCAAGAAAAGTATTGTGTTTCCAGAACAAGGATAGTATATTTATAATATGAATTTCTATCATTTCCTCAAATTCACTGTGGGAAAACCAGAGGTGATAACTAATTGATTATTTTCTAAACAACGTACCCACGAGTTGACGATAGTCTTTCTTTGATTACTTCACTTGTGAGTTTTACAAGTTCTTACACCGAGGATAAGCCGTATTATGTCATGGCTACGATTATTGTTTAACTAAACAACAGCTAATTTGCGGGCGTATCATTCTACTTTCTATCTTCTTAACTGAACGAAGTTTGGCGTATTAATGCTGATACACCAGACATGCTTTATTTAGTTAAATATTAAAACTGCGGCTATAAATATCAGAAACGGCAAAGCTGAAAGAATGAGCGCTTTTGCAAGATGTCTGTAGTTTTCACAGGACCCTTTGAGAGCGTGACATTACTTTCTTGAGGTGAACTAAGATGGCGGCTCCCTTCTTGTATCATAGTGTTGTTTTGTTTGTGAATTACTTACACTTATAAGAGAAATATTTTCTATTCGGCGGAGCGTAGCGAAAGAGAACAGAATAGAGATCTACATATCTCGTACCTAAAAGTGATTTTAAGTTGCAAATTTGCTTGCCTGAATAAAATTATCGGAATTAAAGCAACAATAGTAATTATCTCTTTCCACCCTAGATCACTTGTTGTAACAACTCGTTAACACTTTTTGTCAAAAATTTGAGGCTCTGCTTTGCTATTTTTTCTATTTAGTCAGCGACGACACAACTAAATAGCACGGAATATTTTCTCGTAGCCTTTTAGTCAACTTAACGGAATCGCAGACAATGTTCTTGCTGAAAGTTTTGATGGTTAGTGATCCCGTATTTTTGTGGGGCTCCCGAGAAATTTGATATCTGAAGCATGAAGTTAAGTACACCACAAATCGTAACCAATTCCCCACAAAAGACGCCTCCGAACAACTCTTTACGGAGTAACAGTTTTCCCGGCATCGAAGAGACCACCAAACATGAGCCATCAAAGTTACGCAGAGCCAGTATTGAGGCGCCATCTTTGCCTTTGCTTGGACGACGATCGAGTGTTTGTGGTACGCTATTAAATGTCCCTGGATCCCTTAAGAGAGAACTGTCAGACCCGATTTTGGAACAGCAAGAAAAACAACCAACCCTGTTGAGACGTGGATCGATCGCTCCTCGCATGCGTTCAGGCAGTGTGTTTGGAAAGAGCCTTGGAGTACCTTCCACTGGTGTCTTGAGGACAAGGCGACGCAGTAGAGTTTTCAGTGCAAGAGAGATCAAAATATTTCAGGTGAGTGCCAAGGCTCGACTTCGTAAAGCAACAACCTCCTCCTGTAAATAAATTGTTTAAAGAAAAAAAAACCAGCCTCCTCCTCAGGCGCTCCGTTTTTCGTACAGGGGCGGGCGCGACACGCGAGTGACACGCGAGTGGCTGGTGAAGAAACGCAAGGGTCCATGGGAAGGAGAACAAATGAGCGACAAAGACGTCTCGCCCGTTTTCTCCTTCCCGCCTTTCTTTGCGTGCAAATTTTCATCGAGAGAGAGAAACGACTTATTATACATGATTAGTGACATCTGAGTGATTGATGGTTTCCAAAAACTAGCACAGTTATTGGCATAATTTTAAAAATGTACAAGCACTGCTAGTAGCATATTATGCTACTTTTCAGGAGCGTAGCGTCCTTATACGCACATGGGTACGCCCGTGAGTACAGCTGAAATCTGGAAAAAATATACGTTTCATCATATTCCCTGAAAGCATTTTTATCGTTAAATCGGTATGACTGATAAATCTATCCCATTACATTGGTGTATTTGCCCGTCAGAAGGATAGATGTCTCACCCTTTGCTTGTGACCTCCTTCATGACCTCACTGTTTTACCCTTTGTTTTCCACAAACACCGTACCCTGCCGATAACACTGGATATGTAAAATAAATAACTATTGCATCCTTCGTATTTATTTACTGAACATGTCCTGCGGAAAACGCAGGAAATGGCATTTCTGAGCACCTAAATCTGAAAAATTTGCTGAGCGGAGCATGCCCCAAGTCCCCCCTGGTTTGCAGTACCTTCGGACAGATGATAAAGATGAAGCAGAATAAACAACAAAATCAATGTTTTTTTGTAATATTCGTTTACTAGAGAGCAACGCCAGTCTTCAGTAATATGTTTGATATAAATACTCTTTTGGATCATCCACCGTTATCGGATAATTATCGATTATCGACTGTTCTCGATTTTTGCCAATCAATAAAAATCGACAATTT